CATTTCATTTTCTTTTAGTTTAAAATACTTTCTAATTTGTCTTTTGATTTTTTTCTTTGACCCATGGATTCCTTGGAATTTGTTACCTAATTTTTAATTGGGGATTTTCCCAATACCTTTTTGTTACTGATTTTTAATATGATTTTATTTTGAGAACATATTTTGTATGGTCCTAATTCTTTTAAGTTTATTAAGACTTATTTTATGTCCCAGAATATAGTTTATGTTTATAATTTTTTTCCAATAGTACACAAATCAATATTTTATTTAACCAATATAGTTTGTTCTGAAATACCGTCATGGTTTGCGTTGACTCTGCCATTCTCTCTCTCCCAACATGTAGTTTGAAGGTTTCGTGGTATGGAATCATGTTAAATTGTTGTCCTGCATCTCCTACCTCATTTAGCTTAGGGCTAATTCCACTTTGAACACATACAGAACTACTTTTAAAACTGATTAATTAATTAACTATTACAAATGAAATTTTCTTACGTGTAGCGGATGAATATTAGGTAAGACTGGCTCAGTCCTTGTCTGCTGCTCCTCACCAAAGTATCCTTTATTCTCCACTCCCAGTGTTTCTCTGGGTGGGCTGTCAGAAGGAAATTGAATATTCGGATAAGATATGGGATAAGCCTGTGGTTAATAATAAATCATCTGGGAGATTTTAAAAAGACTAATATACAGGTTATACCCTATAACAATTAAACCTGAGGGAGGCACCAAATTAGTATTTTTTTTTTAATCCCTTGTAATTCCAATGGGCGGCAAAGTTTGGAAACCATTAGGATAAACATTTGAATAAGAACAAAGTATGTAACAGCTTGATTTACTGCTACTCTTACATGGTCTTCAATAATAGGTTATACTTCTCCCCCATAAAGTATCGTCTATGACCACAAAGCTTATATATTCTGAATAATGGTCCCATTCAACACCTAGAAAATACAGACATACCTCTGAACTAGCTTCAGTTTAATACATTTTTGGGAACGAATTAATAATGTGATAATCCCAATACTGATAACAACCAGGATAGGCACGACAACCAGAATGGAGAGATCTGGAATGGTAAAAAAACAAAACAAAACAAAACAAAAGCTTCAACCAGGATATCTTTAGGACGGTGGAATATTAAGTAACTGAGCCATTACAACCCTGGTTCTCCCCTCCTTCAAATATGTTAATTCCCCCTCCCTATAACTTTTTAATATAAAGTAAAAGGCCAAAATATTACACAAATTATCATCCATATTAGCAATTGCCACTCCACTCAGGAGTCCATTATGTTTAAGGGACCCACAATCAGCAGAGAAGTTTTGATCATCAGCTATTAACTGACATAGAAAAGGCCTTGTTGTGTTATGGGCTCTTAGAAGAACTGATCCAAATTTAACTAAGAGAAGATGCATTAATTCCAAAAAGCAATAGTAGTAAATTAAATATGGAAAATAATAAAAAGACCATAAACAGAAATATAACATATATGTAGTAGACCTGAAAAAGAACAAAAAAGCTTTTTCACTGGCTAGACTTTGATATATGCAACATATTATGTTATAGGATGCTTACTGGTAACATTTAAGCTTTCTTCCCAGTCCACAGATACCTGTTCATCCTTACACAGGCACTCGAGTTCACTGCCATCCACCTGTAAGAGCAATCATCACATAATTTTATCAAATGACTGACATAGCTGTGTTTTATACCTCACTTAGCTTGGTGCTAGTTCTGTATCAAACACATACACAAACTCTTTATTAACTAAACTGCATACCAAAGTCTATATTGGAAAAAATAAGCAAAAAAATATGAGAATCAACTACCATTGAAGATGGCCTTTGAACGAGAGAGCGATTCTGACAAATTGAAAACTAGACAAACAAGACAGCTTTACTTATCTTTCTAGAAAGCGTCAATATTATTAAATAAACAGCCTCCGCTAGACTTGGACAGATAACAGTCAAAGAACAGACTCAAGCTAGGCTTAATAATGGGATAATATTAATGTGGGGAAAAATGATGGAACAATGGTTAGTCCATTAAAGAGCAATGTGTAATGGTTAAGAACACACTCTCTGTATATCAGCTTTTCCTTTCACAATTTGGTGTGACTTATTCTTCATCTGTAAAAGTAGACATACGAGTAGTACTCACCTTTCGATCTGTTATGAAGCTTTTAAAATTTAGTATATATGCAAAGTACTTGAAAGAGTTCCTGACACATATATAAACTCTATATGTGTTATGATTAACTGAGCTTAGAAAAAATGTCACCCACAAACATGACTGTTAAGTACTGCTAGTACTGAACAAAGTTAATTGAGTTAAAAAATAAAATTGTCTTGTTGCTTTATTCAAAAGCTTTAAACAAATTTTGACATTGTGATAAATCTAACTTTAAACTTTAGGTATAAACTTCATATGAATCTAAGTTACTGGATTTCTAGATTACCAGTCCAATGATAAAATATTTGGCAATACTGACAATATCTACATATAATACCTGGTTTGGCTCTTTGGGTCAATTTTATGGATGATACATTAAAAAAAATGGGTTCAAAATGTATATTTGATTTAAAAACCACCTTACAAATATACATACATATATACATTCACAAACACACGCACACATACTCATAGGCTCTGGAATTAGTCTTATGTAAATAAAGACTGGTAAGACATTAATTTAAAAAGGGACCAAATCTTACAATATTTTCATTGCACTGAGAGGAGCAACTGGTTGAATTGTAGGCATTTTCAATAGTCACACATTCACCATTGCTGCACACCTAGAAATAAAGTAACCAACATGAATTAGAATGACTTGTTCCTAGAATTTACATAATATTTTCTACTGTGAAAAATCACATGTAGAATCTTCTGTGGAATAAGAAATCCTCTATTAGAAAATAATGTACTGTACATTCAAATATTGTTATATACAATCTTCTTAATTTATGTCTGTGTCTTTTAGAATTCTTCAAATGTTTATCTAGCAAAGATTCTAAAATTGTAATTACAACAATTTCCTCTATTATTTCTATCAAGTTTTCTTTCATTTGAAGAAGATCTGTGCTTGTCATATCACAGTTGCTGATTGAGCATTTTGTTAATATCAATTAATCTTATTTATGTTTATCACCTTTGTTTTAATTTTTTTTTAGTAAATTTTATGACCAAATTATTATTGTTTTGTTGCTCATAGTTATTTCCTGGCTTATCTTAGCCCATTTATTCAATTTTTAATTGTTATTTTTATTTTTACCTATTTCTTTAAAAAGAGCTTATATTGGGACATGTTTTTCCAATTCTACTGAAGCATAATTGATGCATAAAAATTGTATATTTTTAAAGTGTATATCATGATAATTTGATATCCATTATAAAATGATTAACAAAAACAACTTAATTAACACACCCATCACCTCAAGTAGTTACTTTTTTGTGTGTGTAGTGAGAACATGAGCATATTTAAGGTGTTCTCTCTTAGCAAATGTGAAGTATACATTACAGTATTATTAATTATACATCAGATTTCTAGAACTTACTTGTAACAGAAAGTTTGTACCCTGTGACTAACATCTCCCCATTTTCCCCACCTCTTAGCCCCTGGCAACCATCATCCTACTCTCTGCTTCTGAGACTTTGACTTTTTTAGATTCCACATATAAGTTAATTCATACAGTATTTGTCTTTCTGGGTCTAGCTAATTTTGCTTAGCATAAGTAAAATATTCCCCAAGTTCATCCATGTTGTTGCAGATAGAAGGATTTCCTTTTTTTATTCACATTTTTATTATCCATTCACCCATCGAAGGACATTTAGATTGTTTCCATATGTTGGCTGTTGTGAATAATGCTGCAATGAACATGGGGGTGCAGATATCTCTTCAAAATTTTGATTTCAGTTCCTTTGGAGATATACTCAGAAATGGAATTGCTGGATCACATATTAGTTCTATTTTTAATTTTTAGAGGCACCTCCATAAGAGCTGTATCAATTCACATTCCCACCAACAGTGGACAAGGTTTCCTTTTTCTCCACATCCTCACTAATGCTTGTTATTTCTTATCATTTTAATAATAGCCGGATGGTGAATATGAGGTGTATATCTCATAGAAGTTTTTACTTGCATTTCTCTGATGATTAGTGATGTTGAACATCCATTCATATACCAGTTGGTTATTTGTATGTCTTTTTCGGGAAAATGTCTATTCAGGTCCATTGCCCATTTTTTAATTGAATTATTTATTTTTGTTGTTGTTTTGCTATTGAGTGGTATGAGTTACTTATAACTTTTATATATTAGCTATTTGTCAGATATATGGGTTGCAGATATTTTCTCCCATTCATAATTTGCTTTTTCATTTTGATTGTTTCCTTTACTTAAAGAAATGCTTTACTTGGATATGGTCCACTTATTTAATTTTGCTTTTTGCCTGTGCTTTTGGTATCACATTTAAAAAATCATTGCCAAGATCAATGTCAATGAACTTTCCCTTATGTTTTCTTCTAGGTGTTTTACTGTTTAATAGCTTAAATTTAAGTCTTTAATACATTTTGAGTTACTTTTTGTTCATGCTATAGGAGTCCAATTTCATTCTTTTGCATGTGGATATCCAGTATTCACACCTGCTTTTTCATTTTGATTGTTTCCTTTACTTAAAGAAATGCTTTACTTGGATATGGTCCACTTATTTAATTTTGCTTTTTGCCTGTGCTTTTGGTATCACATTTAAAAAATCATTGCCAAGATCAATGTCAATGAACTTTCCCTTATGTTTTCTTCTAGGTGTTTTACTGTTTAATAGCTTAAATTTAAGTCTTTAATCCATTTTGAGTTACTTTTTGTTCATGCTATAAGAGTCCAATTTCGTTCTTTTGCATGTGGATATCCAGTATTCACACTACCATTTATTGAAGAGACGTTATTTTTCCCATTGTATGCTTTTGGTGCTGTTGTCAAAGATTAGTTGACTATATATACATAGGTTTATTTCCCAGCTCTCTATTGTTCCATTGGTCTATGTCCGTTTTTATGCCAGGATCATATTGTTTTAATTAATATAGCTTTGTAATATCATTTGGAATAAGGAAGTGTGATGCTTCTAGCTTTGTTCTTTGTTCATGATTGCTTTGGCTGTTTGGAGTCTTTTGTAATTTCATACAAATTTTAAAATTGTTTTTCCTATTTCTGTAAAGAATACTATTATAGATTTGATAGGAATTGCATCAAATCTGTTCATTATGGGTAGTATAAACATTATAAAAATATTAATTCCTCCAATTCATGGACACAGAATATCTTTTAATTTATTTGTGTCTTCTTCAGTTTCTTTTATCAAAGTCAATTTCTCTTTCAGTGTACAGATCTTTCACTTCCTTGGTTAAATTTATTTTTAAGTATTTTATTGTTTTCAATGCTATTGTAAATGGGACGGTTTTCCTGATTTCTTTTTCAGATAACTTGTTTTTATCATTGACTTCAAGGTGTGAGGGTCAGTATAAATGTATAAATGTTTATCTCTTTCTATGAATTTTTCCTGGTACTAAGTGAATTTTCATTTTATACATTACTCAGCTCAGGGACATTTTTTATTATTATTTCTTTAATTATATTTTTACCTCTATTATTTTTAAATCTAGAATTCCTATTAAATCGGTATTAGATATTTAGGACTATTTTTCCTGCTTTTATTCATTTTATTTTATTTTTTTAAAATTCCTTCGTCAAGGGTTAAAGTACAAATTAGTAGTTGATAGATGGTCACGGGGATAGAGAACATGGCTTAGGGAATGCAGTGAGCAGTAATGTAAGGGCTGTATGTAGAGCCAGAGGAATGATAGAGTAATCAGGGGAATCATTTCATAAACTATGTAAATGCCAAAAAAAAAAATTCCTTTATCTTAACCTCCTGTTTTAAGAAGTTTAGCTTCTAACTTACTATCTTTTTACAGATCTATTCAATGGTTTACTGCCCCAATTACATATAAATCAGCAATCAATTTATTTTGTACTTTGAAGGCAATGCTTCTTCATTTCAAATTATACCACTTTTATAGATTTTATACCCTTTTAAATCTTGTTAAATATAGATTTAATTTTTTCCAAAAGGATTTTCCTCTTTTTTAATGTATATCTGTTTAATAAGGGATTATCATCTATGATTCCTCAGATTAGTCTCCTTTATTTACAGTATTGAATACTTTTATGTCTATTACTATTTATCTTTTTTGCTTTTCCTTATAAAATAAATTTTCTACATACAGTCATGTATCATTTAATGATGGGGATATGTTACATAGTAAGAAATGCATTGTTAGGCAGTTTTGTCATTGTGTGAATGTCATAGAGTGAACATACACAAGCCTAGATGGTGTAACCCAGTACACACCTAGGTTATAGAGTACAGCCTATTCCTCTTAGGCTATAGGCCTGTGCAGAATACTGTAGGCAGTTACAACACAATAGTGTTTGTGTATCTAAACATAGAAAAGAAACAGTAAAAATGTTGTATGAAAGATAAAATACAGTATACCTGTATACCACACTTAACCGTGAATGGAGCTTACAGGACTGGAGGTTGCTGTGGGTGAGTCTGTGAGTGATGAAGTGAATGTGGAGGCCTAGGCTATTACGCTACATGAAATTCTCAAGTACATTCATCTTTGCATCATCCACATCCAGCACAGTCACTGGCACCACAGTATGTGCCCAGCAAATAGAGCTGAATGAATAAAATAAATGAAGAATGTATGGCTACTTCATTGTCAAATTAATTTTTAAAAATTATGTTTATAATTACATTAGATATCTACTGTAAGACACTAATTAAGCACACTTATAACATTTACATATCAATTACATAATAAAGATTAGATAAAATGAATATTTGTGATAGTGTTATTGCTACTCTGCTCAATAAAAAATGTTACCATTTTTTTTTCGGCTTTCCTATATATAGGCCCTCTGGAACCAATTATAGGATCCAATGATGTTTTAAAGTGGCTGAACCAAGAAGTTTTAATAAAACAAACAATTTCATCTTACCATTCCATCGCCACATTTTGTTCCAGGAGCAACCAGGCCCAAATCTTTAGAATTGTGATATAAATAAAAAGTTTTGCATTCAGCGGTGACATTCTGCCTTGGGGTTTTATTAAAGTAATAGGTCTTTTCTTCTCCAAGGACAGATGAGTGCTGCCCTCCGGTGCAGTATATCTTTCCACATTTGACATCTCTGAAGGAAAGGGAGAATATTTTCAGTCTTGGGACCAGAAATAGAACTTTAGAGACTGGGTTTGCAGTGAAGTGGCCTGGCCACTTTTTTCTAGACCCGGGTTTGTCAACAGGCTGCAGAGAGGCCAAGAGAGGTAAACTGTTGGATATAGTCCTGACCCTGGGAACTGAGATAGATCAGTAAACATATAAAATGGTCATATTTCTTTATGATATCTCTGTGATTCTTACAAGGCAATAGTAGTTTAAGTTTACAGAAAAATATTTTTATTAATAATTTGAATTAGCATAACTTTAATCAGTACACTAAGATTTTTTCTTATTCTCTCTTGCATAAAGCATGTCAATTGATTCTCACAATAAACCTTTTGAGGTTGCTATTATTATAACTTCCATTTTTAAAGATTAGGAAGTAATTGGAAGCGAGAGAAGTTAAGTGACTGCCCATTTTTACATAGTCCATTGAAGAGCAACGTTGAACTTGACCATAAATTTTTGCTGCTGTTGTTTTCAATCCAAATCCTGTTTTGTGGCACACAAAAAGCTTTGCCAAATGTCAATAACAAACCTGGAAGTAGGAGTCAGCTCGCGTTTTAAAATCGGATCTAACTTCCAAGTCTCCCATTCTCTCTTC